CGTGTTTCTTGTGAATTTTATTAGAGATAGTATTTCTGTGGATTTTGTACTTCCGAGAAGCTTCTGCAATTGACATACCACCAGCAACTGCTTGCAAACATTGTTGCAGCTTTTCTAAAGTGTAATCACGGTAGTTTCTTGTTCCAGTTATTTTTTTTTATAACGTCTGACCATTTTTCTGTCGAAAAAAAACCGAATGAAACTTTGCATAAAGTAGCCCCAAAGTGCATTTTTTTTCATTTTCCGTTTATTTGTTATTAATTTTCAAAATTTTTTAACGCTAACATGATTTAATTGTTTATTAATATATAAATAAAATTTTTTGCAAGCATGCGATAGCTTTGCAATTTCGTATGCATGAATGTTTTGAACAGATATGCAAATGATTAAAATTTGGTGTCCAATGAACGAATAGCTTTATCTCTGGCGCATCGGGACTGCGCATCCAGGAGACGTAATCGCTCGTCATTTGAGTCGAAGCGATGCGACGATTCAAAGATGCGTGGAGTGGAAAATGGCAGAGTTCAGCATCAGAATGGTAGTGGTCGACCTAGGGCTACAACAGAGCGTGAGGACAAAGTGATTGTCCGAGCAGCTGTCACNGGTAGCCATAGGTTGCCATAGATTACCATAGGCTTCTCTATGGCAAATTTTCTTAAGGGTTATCTCTATCAACCATCAGACGCTCAACCCAAACACCAGCACCCTGGCACCCTGGGCTGGTTTTTCAGCAAGACAATGCCAGACCGCACGTGTCGCTATGAACTGTCTGCAAGCTAGTCAAACTCTTCCTTGGCCTGCCAGATCACCAGATCTCTCTCCCATCGAGCATGTCTGGGATATGATGGGAAGGCGATTGCATCTGGCACGGAATGTTGATGACCTCGTTCGACAATTGGATCGAATTTGGCAGGAAATACCGCAAGAGACCATCCGGGAGCTTTATCGGTCTATGCCACGCCGTGTGGCAGCTTGTATCCAGGCTAGAGGCAGGTCAACACCTTATTGAACTTGTTACTGTAACCCTGCAATAAATTATTCAATTGTTCTGAAATTTTAATCATTTACTATTCTGTAAATTGTCTTCCTATCCACCAATTTTCGTTTCAATTGGAAAACTCCTTCTAGGTGCATCAATTTTTTTGTTATATCTTACATTTTAATACTATGAAACCGGTGATACCTGATTGCGCTAATGGTTTTCTGAAATATGGTGGATTGCGCTGCTAACATCTTATCCCCCTTTAATAAAGGTTGGTGGACTGCGCTTAAGGCACCCCTTATGACCATCCCTCCTACTTTATTCATGCAGTATGTCCCCTATGAAACATTGTGAAGTTTTATTTCAGAGTTTAAAATTTAAATCAGCGAAAATATGTTGTCTTTCAAATATCAGTTTCCTGAAATTGTTTTTAAATAATTCATATTCAGTATAAATTAATAGATTTCTTTATTGTTAGCTCCTGCTGGGGGTCAGCCTGGGCCATCAACCTTTTCTGGACCTTCTACGTTTGCTGGTACTCAACCTACAACTGCCCCTCCCATATATATGACACCTTTTCCCTACATGCCTTTTTGTAAGTGTTAAATTATCACCTTATTTTCCTTTCTTACTTAGTAAATTTTTAAAAAATTAAAAAAAAATTTTATTATTTCTTCAAATAAATGTAATTACATTTCAAAAGAGAATAAACAAGTGTATGTTTTACTGATTGTAATGCCAATTACTTAGTCTTATAAAAGACAATAATTAAAACTTAAGACGTTGTCATTTTGCTAAGTAAAGCATTATTTTTATTCTGTAATAAAAAGGAAATGAAAAATAATAAAAATTAAATTGATTGGTTAAAAATAAGTAAGCATCTTATCAACTAAATATAACACTAAGTTAGTATGATTTTATTCTGAGTTTAATTTTTTTATCAAGTCAATTAAAAACTATTAAAATCTTAAACTAACATTTTTAAAACGTATTATCCATCTTACGTTTTATATCTGACTGTTATTTGATAACGTAAAAGAAGTTTCATTAAATGTAGACTTTATATTTAGCTTCTGAAATATGTAAAGCTAAATTTTTCTTTGTGTCTTTTTGTGTACGTTTATTAACTCTTATTTGCCCGGTAATATATTTAGACTTTAGTTTATGTAAGTTTTTACATTTTAATACTGCGAAACATTGTGAAGTATTATTTGAGAGTTTAAAGTTTATATCCGAGAAAATATGTTGTCTTTTAAATATCAGTTTCCTGAAATTGTTTTTAAATAATTCATATTCAGTATAAATTAATAGATTTCTTTATTGTTAGCTCCTGCTGGGGGTCAGCCTGGGCCATCAACCTTTTCTGGACCTTCCATGTCTGCTGGTACTCTACCTACAAATGCCCCTCCCTTATTTTTGCCACCTTTTCCCTACATGCCTTTTTGTAAGTGTTAAATTGTCACCTTATTTTCCTTTCTTACTTAGTGAATTAAAAAAAAAGTTAAAATTTTTTTTAATTATTTATTTAAATAAATGTAATTACATTGCAATAGAGAATAAACAAGTGTATGTTTTACTGATTGTAATACCAATTATTTAATCTTATAGAAGACAATGATTAAAACTTAAGATGCTTGTTATTTTGCTAAGTAAAGCATTATTTTTATTCTGTCAGAATATATTGAAAAAAAGCTGTCAATAAACAAAGTCAATTGAAAATAATAAAAATGAAATTGATTGGTTAAAAATAAGTAAGCATCTTATCAACTAAATATAACACTAAGTTAGTATGATTTTATTCTGAGTTTAATTTTTTTATCAAGTCAATTAGAAACTATTAAAATCCTAAACTAACATTATTAAAACGTATTATCAATCTTACTTTTTATATCTGACTGTTATTTGATAACGTAAAAGAAGTTTCATTAAATGTAGACTTTATATTTAGCATCTGAAATATGTAAAGCTAAATTTTTCTTTGTGTCATTTTGTGAATTTTTATTAGCTCTTATTTGCCCGGTAATATATTTAGACTTTAATTTATGTAAGTTTTTACATTTTAATACTATGAAGCATTGTGAAGTATTATTTTAAAGTTTAAAATTTTAATCCGCGAAAATATGTTGTCTTTCAAATATCAGTTTCCTGAAATTGTTTTTAAATAATTCATATTCAGTATAAATTAATAGATTTCTTTATTGTTAGCTCCTGCTGGGGGACAGCCTAGGCCATCAACCTTTTCTGGACCTTCTATGTCTGCTGGTACTCAACCTACAAATGCCCCTCCCTTATTTATGCCACCTTTTCCCTACATGCCTTTTTGTAAGTGTTAAATTATCACCTTATTTTCCTTTCTTACTTAGTGAATTAAAAAAAAAAGTTAAAAAGTTTTTTTTATTATTTCTTCAAATAAATGTAACTACATTGCAAAAGAGAATAAACAAGTGTATGTTTTACTGATTGTAATGCCAATTACTTAGTCTTATAAAAGACAATAATTAAAACTTAAGATGTTGTCATTTTGCTAAGTAAAGCATTATTTTTATTCTGTAATAAAAATGAAATGAAAAATAATAAAAATTAAATTGATTGGTTAAAAATAAGTAAGTATCTTATCAACTAAATATAACACTAAGTTAGTATGATTTTATTCTGAGTTTAATTTTTTTATCAAGTCAATTAAAAACTATTAAAATCTTAAACTAACATTNAATGAAGTCTCTGTAACTTTTTATTTATTTTCCTCTTAAATTTATTAGGATGGAAAATTGTTTTCATCTTTTTATTATTTTTAGAAATTAATTATATTTGTCCTCAATTTTAAATGAGCCAGTTCAAACATTTCAACTATTTAAGTTGCAAGATAAATGTAAAGGCTACAAAGCCAGTATTATGTAGGAAAACATCTACATTAACCAATTCCTTTTTCTTCTTTCTTTTCATTAAAAAAAAAATCAGGGCCTGGTTTCTTACCTAATGCTCTTCCTGGAGTTATTCCTTTTATCATGCCACCTGTTCCTCCACAACAACAGCAGCCAGCTCCACAAGTTGCTCATCTAGCGAATGCTCCTCAATCTCAACAAGCCTCCGGTAAAACTAAATATTTAATTTAGAACGTAAAAGAACATTTTACATTTTATAAAAAATATACTTTTTTATTGCTATTTATGTGAGATGCTTATATTTATCTATAAATTTTGCTTGTTAGCTAAAAAGAAAAAGTGATTTTCATTTGAAAAACTAAATTAATATACTGTATACATTTCTCGTGTAGAAAAAGTGTATGTGTGATATTCTTTGAGTTGATGTTTAAGTTTGTGAAAATAAATAATTTTTAAATTAACCTTAATTATATATATATTTTTTTATTTTAGGGAATGATACTTTAAAACTTTATATTCTAAAATTTAACTTTAATTAAGTGACATTTATTTTTCCTGTTTATGATTTTAATATTTAAATTATTCATTTCTGTGTAATTGAAATAAAGTATTTCCAAATCATTTATACATTTAAAATAACAATTGAGCAGGATTCATACGCGCTGAGAGTTTTCTGGAAAACAAGAGTCGAAAAAAATTAGGTAATTACCAGGGCAAAGCGTAAATTTACCTTAAAACCAGTCACTTTTATAAACAATAACTTAGTATTTTTTTTTGTTCTATTCTTAAAAACGTTACTCAGTTAATTAAATTTGATTTAATTTCCATTAAATGCAGATTATTTGTTTAATATTTTTATTAATTTAGTTTTTATTATTTTATATATATATTTTTCTTTTTTGGAAAGACTTAGTTGTTAAAAAGTTGTTCTTTTATTTGATTTTTAAGTTCTCACTTTATTTTTCATTTTCTAACAGCTTTGTTTAAAAGCAAAAAAAAAAAAGAAAAAAAAGCGTAGAATAGTAACTGAATCGCATTATACATAACCTGAGTATTGTAAACAATACTTGATTTCTTCTTAACCAGTAACATGTAGATTAAATATATGACTTGGGTTCGTGATAAATTACGTATGCATTATGTTCTTTGAACTGTTTTCATTCGAATCTTTAATTCAAAACTGAAGTTGAAAATTGTATTTTACAGATGGAGTCTGTAAAGAAAAGAGATCTGAAAGCTGGACTCTCAGAACTTCAAAAACAGAATCGACTGAAAGAGCTGATTTAATAAACAATTTTTCTGAATCTCCTTCCCTGCAGCGCATTGCAGTAGTGTCGATTGCAATTGGGCTATGGACGTTGCCTGATATAAGAAATGAAATGGCGTATTATTTCTTACATGCAGATATCGAAAATGCAGTTAAGTTAAAGAGAAGAATATTAGACAAACTGTCAAATAGCTCTTTGCCCTCATCGCTGAAGACCGAAATCTCATACGTCATTCGACCCATTATGTTGCAGTTGTGGAAAGCGCTTCGTAGTTATGGTAGACTGACAGGATATCAAGAAAATCTCAGGGAGTATTACATAAAACATGGTACAATTTATTGGACAGTTGAGGGGACAGTTGACATAGTGAAATCCTTTACGGAAATATTCGATAATGGAAACTTAGATAGTGGCCAGATAGCCTGCTCTCACTGTTTAGGGGAATATGCTACAAATTTGTGGGAGAAAATTCCAGAAGAATTGAGAAACCAATTTAGAATCGCTTTAGCTATGTACGATTATGATTTGATAATATATTGGACATGTGTCCTCGAGAATAATTTAGGGAGTTTTCTAACTAGACTCATAGATCATGACGAAATATACGATGATAAGCTTAGTATTGATGTAAATATGATTGCTTGTTCGATTCAAATTGGTAACATAGTCGCTCTAAAGTATTTTTGGAAGAAATTGTCGGAGCAGGAGAAAAACGATCATTTGAGTAAGTGGCTTTTGCAAGCTACTCAACAATGTATGGAATTTGAAAATGATTCATTTTATCAGTATTCGTCAGAATTTTTTGATGTTTTATATTTTTTATTATCTCATGTCAATCGTATAACTCAAATGACCGAATTTTTTCGGAATCATTCTCACGTATTAGTGTTTTTGTTCGAAAGTTGGCCATACCAAAGAATATTCTTGTCCACTATTTTTGAACTATTGGATGATCTTCAAGAAGACATTTATTCAAGTATAATGCGTAATATAAGTTCTAAGATGAGTAAAAGGGGAAATGAAATGATTTTTAAAGAAATATGGAGTGCCAGTCCATTAAGACTAAGACGATCATTTCTGAAAAATAAATCTCTTTGCTACGAAGTGTTGTTGCACTTGCTGCAATTAGAAAATCTAAACATGGCTGTTAGGATATTAAATGATGTTTCCGAAGAAGAGATTAAACTATATATCTGCTTTATGTTTTTTCGGCCTGAATTTACGCGTGCTATTTATTCAAACAATCTGAATTCACTCCACATGTTATTATCAAAATCTACCTTGCCACCAGAATGTTATCCCTATAAGAGGAATGTTTTAGAGCAAAAAGAGCTTGATAGACTGATGAAATCGTGGTTTATTGGATATGGAGATTGGCATATTTTTGCTGAGTGGATATACGAGGGTAACATCCAAGCAGCTGCATCTTTCTTTAGATGGGCTTATCAATCTGTGTCAATTGAAACATTAATACATTTCTTAACTTTGAAACTTAACATTGAAACTTAATATTTTTGTCCTACTATGAACATGTGGACCAGTTTATGAATTGTTTTTTTCGAGATGAGAGAGGAAATTCAACAATTTAAAGCAGACTTTTTGCGATAAAGTGATAATGATTTTTTCAAGCAATTAATAGCAATGCCGTTCATTGTATCAAAAAGAGAAGGCGATGTGTTACGAAAATTTATGAACTACAACTTGTCTTCTATTAAAAACATTGCAGAATTTCGACTTATTTGTCGTAGTTGTATAGAGTATGCACTGAGTAAAAGTTTTCTTTTTTAAGTGCCACCTTGCTTTTGAATGCGTCTTTTGATAATGTCATTGAAGTGAGGCTGTACAAAAACGAAATTATACTATCTGAGAAAAGAATTAAAAATTTTCTGGTCTTAAATCAATCACTAACATATGTAGACTGGAATCATGCGAGAGAAATTCTAATGTGATCGTTACCTCTAACACTGAATACAGTCACAAAAATAAAGTCACTAATTCTGGAGAAAAAGACTAGTCACTCTTTCCAAAATGAATTGAATCCACAAATTTCATGATTTACAGGAGAATGTTGTTGAGAAAGATAGCAGATGATAGTTGAACATCTTTTTTTTGTGATCAAAAACGAAGGCAAATGAAATCATATTCTCTGTCAATTGACAAATCATGTTCAATGCGCAATCACTGTCAAACGATTAATTGTCTTATAATAAATAGGTGACTCCATTTTTTAGTGTTAGTTGCTTAATGTTAACGAAACAATATTCGTTATATATTATTTATCACAACTTCTTTTAATGTTAATGAAACAATATTCGTAATATATTACTTATCACAACTTCTATAGTTAATTTAACTGTCACAACTTTATTATTTTTATTTTCATTATACCTGAAAAAAAATCAAAAATTTTAAGTGATTTATTTTTCCTCACTATTCCCAAAGAACAGTCACTAGGAAGATATATATACTGTCCCTGGCCAGATTATAAGATGCACTAAAATATTCTATTTAAAACTTAATTATAAGGTGATATTATACAGCTTTATTGTTTTTACACTGCTGAAACCGGTTTGCACAAGTTTACGTTCGTGTATCAATGGGTAATATAAATTCGATGATTGGAAAAATTAGATGGTATATAATATAAATATAGAATACTTATTATATCAGGTATTATATTAGTATATTATAATAATTATTAGATTAGAATAATTATTAGACAAAATTATTAGATACATTGTAGTCTTTTAATAATGAAATGTTTTGCACGTGTTTATATGCTATACTTTTATATTTAAACATACATGTAAAGGGTTTTTTAAGGTCACTTTTTATATACTTCCTACTTGTATTTATTTTTTACGCATTGTATTGCAATGCAAGTTACAGCCACGTAAATACAATAAGGCTGTGTAGTATCACCTGATAATTAAGATTTTACATAGAATCTTATACCTGAAAAAAATCTTTGCCTACACCGAAGCACTGGAAACAATCGTTTATTTTTCCTTTAATTAGAACAGAAGGAAAAAATGATTTAGCAAAGTGGTTTAGGGATGTTAACTGTAAACTAAATTTTGTTTTTAATAATATTAAAGATAATGTATAATTTAGATTTCAAAAAATGTAGTGTGAGAAAAATAATACATAAGATTGGGCTGGAAATAAAAATCAAATATTTTGAAATAAAATAACTGTGGAAAATTGCGAATTTGGGAAACTAAACTGCTGTAATAAGACGAATTAAATAAAATCGATCAGTGTGGCTCAGAGAATAGAGCACTCATCTCCCAATGAGATGACCCAAGTTCGCGTCCCAGCGACGGCTGGTTGATACGAATTCTGCTCCCGTATTACACCAACCACATTGCTGATATAAAATATACTCAGTGGCAGACGGATCAGAACTCCTTTCTCATCGTGCTATCCTGGCGAGGTTTTCGCAGTTTTCCTCTCCATGTAATTAAAAGTATCATAACCAATTTGTGAACATTAAGGTATTAGAAGCGAAGTATTTAAAGTAGTTTTTCAAACATAATTATATATTTATTTATAGATTAGGCTGCGCTCTTTAGTATATTCCATGCTCCTCTCCATAATACTACAAATTTACAATTATAACGACCGATGCATGAAGTGCCATTTGCTCTTCCAAATGCACATCGAATTATTTTAACAGCCGTTAGAACATCTAAACTGAACCACACATTTAAAAATAATGGCCAAATTTCTTTTCTTTTTTTCGATTCCCAGGAAATCACTAAAAGAAAGGTGTTTAGCTTTTTTGAGTTTTAAAAACTAACATTATTTCTGTAAGAGTGAGTCTATGAATAAAAAAAGCGTGGTGGAAATAATCGAACTACTATTACTTTTGGCTTTACCACTCAATAAACGTGAAAAATCATGAATTCAATAGGAATAAAGAAATAGTGACAGAACAACCTATTGATACTTAGGCTGTCCAGAGTGTGTTTATGGGTATTAAAAAGTGTGAATTGTTGAATATTTTCCATTATTACGAATTGGAAATGTTTGTGGAACCACCTATGACTTTCCTGCATGCATTCGTGATTTTTGCAAATTTCTTTTTAAAGGATTCGATAAATTCATCGATCCTGAGACTCTAATTAGAAAATTGAATTTTTTTTTTCTTTTTGTAATATAGCTTATTTTAGAGATTAAACATGTGGAATTCATGTACTTCTCAATTTTTTAACGATCAATTAGAATTAAAATGAAAGTAACATTTATAACGAAATAAATTTTTTAAAAAAATATTATCGTTTGCAGTTTTAAAGTTTTTGTATTCGTAATTTTATATTTTGCATTCAGATTTGTCAGGATCTGACAGAATTTCGGTCCACATAATTTTAATTTCCTTAACGGTCAAGCTCAGTTTTCGAGCTAATTCTTCTCCTGAATATATCTGTCAAAACAAATAAAATAATGAGCTTAGATATAAACTGTACTTTTTGTAGAAAAATAATAATCATGCATAAATATCCTAATAAGTGCAGCTAGACCACATAAAGTGAAAAAAAAAAACGTAATTAAAAGACAAAAACACGTAACTAACCTCAATACAACTTGTAAAATATTGATTTTAAGAACATAAAACCCGATGTGACTTTGAAGTCCCAAGGCATTATGAACGTTTAATTGAAGTTAAGTATTTGATACTTATTTTGCATCTAGTTCAATATGTTAATGAATCACTTTAAAAAAACAGAAAAGGCTATTTTGCAAAATCCTTCTTGATGGAAAGCTGAAAATTAAAGAGCAAAGCTTGATTAAAAAATGGCGTCCGGAAGCGAAATAACAGCAACTAAATAATTCCATAATTGATGTTCAACTTCAAATAATCGTTTGCTCCAAACAAGCTATGATAATTGGAAATTTATTCTGTAAGAAAAAACAAATCCCGGTGAGATATTTTGTTCCGTTTCAATGTTATAATAATGCTTTAAAATTAAAAAAAAAGAAAAAAGAAGAAAAAAAAAACTGCAATATTTCTTTTGATCGATGGTACTGTAAAATAATTTTAAAAGAAGGTTACAACAGGGTGAAAATATTAATTTCATGATAAAAATACTATTTATATACTCAGAACATTGCAAAATGATAGGAAAAATAAATAAAACCACAGAACACTTGGCATTAGTTTTAGCTGAATAACACTAAGGTTATGATAAACAGCTTTAAACTGAACTAATTTAATAAAGAAGGAATTGCCGACTCAGGCAGGAATCGGCAAAAGTAGGTAAAGTTGGAGATAAACAGCTAATTTTTATGTTTACTTCTAGTATCAGTTCTAGCTGAGAAAAAGTTTATTAGTAGTATTTTTATTATGAAATTAATATTCACACACATGCACTTTTTTTTAAAATCATGGCATTCTCCAATTGATCACAATAAATGTAAGAGTACGTTCCGGCAAAAAAAGGACCACCTTGAATAATTTTTTGATGCAATGCTCGGGTCTTTACGCTTTATGACTCAATCTTAATGGTTCGATGGGTTAACCTCAAATATGCTAGTTCATTAGTGCAGACGATATTTTAAGTTACGAAACACTCACAAAAACGTACTTTCTTTAATAAGTATATCTTTTTTTTATGACTGATTCGGATTTCCTACCCCCCGAATCTGTCGTAAAAAAGGTATATATTCGAAAGAAAAAATACGTTTTTGTGAGTGATTTCGTAACTTAAAATAACGTCTGCACTCATTAGCCAGCATATTTGAGGTTAACCCATCGAACCATTAAGATTGAGTCATAAAGCGTAAAGGTCCGAGCATTACATCAAAAAATTATTCATGATGTCCCGTTTAATTTTTTTTCCATTTATTTATTTACTTTTTATTTATTGCATTATGCAATTTCTGAGCATGTGCAGTACCGCTGAGGAGCGGAAAATAAGGTTAACGTTACCATCAACGTAACGCAAAAAATCTTTTTTATTATTTGTTGCCCTTCTCGATGGATTTACGTAATTAGATTAAACAAAACTCTCATTTAGTAGTTTATATAAAGACTACCGCTATTCAATATCATCTGACACAATGCTGTTGCTCAAGGCGTTTCATGATTATTTAAAAAAAAATTCGCAATCAAGCTGCTTTCTCCTAGAGGACGTAAAAAATCTATCATAAAAATGTACAGTATTGGTACAGTAGTAATCGATTCCGTAATGAATAAATACATATTTTGCTTTTTAGTTCATAACTTATTTTTTATTTAAATTAGTACCTATTACTGAAATTAATTAAGCATCATTACATCAATAATAGCTTGCCATTTTTTACGCTCTTTCAATAAATCATTTTTCCAATAATTTTCCTTTTAGGACACATCTTAACATTTTACTTCAATTAGTAACTATTATCAAAATTAATAAGCATTGACATCATAAATAATATTGATGTTTCGTTATATTTATTCTCAGCAAATTAGTTCCATTTCTCCGTTAATTTTGCTTTTCAGTGGGAAACTTATTTTTTTTATTTAAATTACCGTCGATTTTAAACTAATTATTTTTATAGTAATGCGTTTTAAAAGCATAACAATAAACAAAATAAACACGTTATTTCAGATAGATAAGTGTAAGGTTATACTATCAGTCTAATTCAGGGGCTCTAGATAAGTGTAGAAATTCAAATTCGGTGACTTACTCCGCCTATGCTGTCCAGTTCACGTTGATTTTTCAAATAACCTGGCATAGCGACTGAAAATAATTAAAATTACAAAACGAGCAATAAATAACTTTTTTTGAGTAGAGCTATAATCTGTCAAATATCACTGATGCTGTCTTTAAAATATCTGACTAAACTGAATTGCCTATAGTTTAGTTTAAAACAATTTCGCTAAGCCAATGCGAAAAATTCCAGTTTTTTAATGTCTCAAATTTTAAAAATAGAGTTGAAAAATCAAAAATCGGGTTTCGTAATTCGTTTACAATTCTAATAATTTAGCTTCAAGTTAAAGATCGTATTTTTAGAGCTTACAGTATATCCTCAATCTGGTATGCAGTCAATAAAAAAAATATTGAATGTGTCTGATTTCTCTTTTCAATCTGATATATACAAGCAAATTTATACCGGGCAGTGGCACTGAACCTTAAGAAAATATCTGTGTTAGATATACCGGGCAGTGGCACTTAACTAGACCTAGTATATATTTCGGACGTTTACCAAAGGTCTAGTCGTACTAGGTCAAGTTAAGTGCCACTGCCTGGTATACATTTGCCCCGTATACCCTACACTGATGTTTTTTTAAGGTCAAGTATCATTGCCCGGTATATATTTGCCCGATACTCCAAACACTGATGTTTCTTCTAATCTATCGTCAGTAAGTATTAAATATCGAATAAATGCAATTATATCCGCGAATAAATCAATATCAAATCGGATGTAACAGATATTTCGTACATTCACCAAAGCGATTATGTGATTGTCAACATTCACCGGTGAAAGTCAACAACCACCGATTTCGGTCATTCACAGTAACATGCACATCATTTACATAATAACCTCATCAGGACGTTTATTTCATACTTTGCCTAAATAGCATNTTATTTACTTTTTTCCCCAAACGAAGAAAGGGCATTCAGCTAATGATTCAATTATATTTATTATTGGAAGTGGAGAACAATCTTAATTCACTGATATAATATAATAAATGCTGAAAATGAAAAGTATTACATAAGAACTCAATAAAGAACAAAACGTAATTGTGTAACACAAATGGGTTTTTACAGACTAAAATCTTTTCAGTAAAAAAAGTTTCGTGTTAAGGCGGGTTCCTTAAAATTTAAAGGTCAGCATGAGCAGAGGTCATAGTTGCTTCGGAAAAGTTTTTGTATTTGTTCACATTTTAACTGTTGTATAACAAGGAGGAAACGAGGTTACTTCTTGAGAATGATGAAACACTCATTCATATATCACCCATTCAAGCACTTAATTAGTGTGGAAAACCAAATTGAGAATATGTGCTTGATCTCATGAAATGCTAGCACATTTTTTTAAAGATATAACTAGAATTTAATTAACAATGCGACAAAAATTTAAGAAACAGGACTACTCTGAATAACTTTTGATATAATGATCGAAACTTCATTTTCTAGGACTCAATCTTTACGGTTCCAGGGGGTGACCTCAAATATGTTAATTAGTTAGAGTAGACGATATTTTAAGTTACGAAAACAGGCACTAAGATATACTTTCTCAGAATAAACATTCCGTTTTTTTCCGGATAGATTTGAATTTTGATCCCCAAAGTATAGGGGGCAGCCATATTCTGGGAAATATGATCCCAATAACTTGATCAGCAAAGATTCACGTGAACATAACTTCGACAGGACAAAACTTCAAGTAGAAAGAATCTGAAATTAATAGTTAACATTAAATTATAAATGATTCACGCATTAATTTTAATGGAAAAAAATTTCTATTATGTAATATTAATAAATTCAAATTCATAATTATATTAGAATAATCCCGATAAGTAACTAACATTAAACGTTATTTATCATTTATTATTGAATTTGAACAATAACTATGATATCTCTATCTTTAATACGGTTAAAATATAAAATAAAGCGAAATTATTTATTGGATATTTCATCCTGTTCTTTTTCGTCCTTTTCCCTTCCATTCTTGCATTTCTTTATTCCCCTTTTTGCTAACAAATTTGGCTTCTATATAAATATTACTTGAATTTTTATTTGTAATCAAATGACAAATTATAAGCAGCTTAGTTTTATTCTACATATTGCAAATAGTTTTTCAATTAGCTAGTTTTGATAGCTATTATTAATTTTTTTCTATTTAAGATTAAATAATAAATTACGCAGTCAAATACAAATACTTATACTCATTAAATAAAATATATTAAAATCAAACTCAATAGTAAGTAATTAATTTAAATTAAATGAACTTTCACTTTGAAGGGATTCTTAATTTCTTATTCAGAGTTAATTTTCTCGATTTCCACGACTTATTAATTAAATTATTTTACTATTTTTATCGTGTTTAATTTTTAAAAGAAACAGAATGAATGTGATTTTACAAGAAAGCAGGGACCGATCATGACAAATTCAGGTCCAAGGCCCACAAAATTTTCCGGGCCCCTAATAAATTATTTTAAAATTAAATTTCTGAACAGTAGTCTTAACAATAAAAAGAATCTATTAAACTGCATGATTCAAGAGAAACATTCTAAAAAATTTTGAAAGCAGATAGTTGAAGATTATTTTTTTAAGATAAAGTTTATGCATCTAAATATTAAATCAAAATACAAAATGTTGCGTGAAAATAAAAATGGTTTGGTGACCACAGACAAGTGAAATCAGTGATTTTTGCTAAAAGTCACTAATTAGCTGAATTATTTTGAAGATTGTAACCTTCCATTTACAGCTTTACGTTTGTTAAGAATAAGCTTTTAGTTCTTGTTGACACTAATCATTTATAAGAGACTTTGCGAACATGCATTCTCGTTGCATTTCATTTGCTTAAGCCGTTGGAGTAAAAATGGCACTAATTAAAATTCAGCCAGCCGTACTTTCGAACTTGAAAAGTGCAATGTTTATACGAGTTTGGTTTATCACAATATAAAGAAAATTTGAAATAAAAAATGCCTTTTTTTGTTGATAAAAACCGTTTCTTTTAGTATTTAAAAGAAAAAGTAATATTGTGAACTTTTTACTAATTTTCAAGGCCCCCAGAAAATGTGGGCCCTAGGCCCGTGCCTAGGCGATAATCAGGCCCTGCAAGTATGCAGGTATTGTTGTTTTGGAATGCAGCAATAGAAAAGGTAGATAAGAAACTATTCGTTTGAGAGTTAGTAAGGTGTGGTTATTCAAGGAAGTGAACAATTCGTAGTCGACATTGATGAATGGGCAACATATGTGCACTTCAGATTGAACTGCTCTGAAATGTACGGGGGTTAACCCTGTGAGTGCAAAGCTCTTCTCAAGAAAAGAAATANGGTGTGGTTATTCAAGGAAGTGAACAATTCGTAGTCGACATTGATGAATGGGCAACATATGTGCACTTCAGATTGAACTGCTCTGAAATGTACGGGGGTTAACACTATGAGTGCAAAACTCTTCTCAAGAAGAGAAATATAGTTTAGTGTGTTCAGAGGCACGTGAGTAAATGTTTAAAACTGTAAGTATGGTAAGTTATGCTAATGGAAATGATGATGGTAAGTACTTATACCCATTCTATATATAGTTGAATTATTATGAAATACTAATAAATAATTTTTAATTTGAAAATTTATTTTCGGTAATAAAATTTACTGAATTGTAATGCGAATTCGATAAGAATTTCCTTGCTAACTTTGTAAGAAAATAAAAAATTTTGTAAATTTTTTTTTTACTTTTCTTTTTTTTTCTTCCTATAAATCGGAAATGTTGTTTCTCACAATGAGGTGACCAAGTTCGAGTCCCAGCTGCTGCTGTTTGACGCGATTCCTGGTCCTTGATCGCACCAACCACAGTGCTGATATAAAATAATCTCAGTGGTAGACGGATCATAATCTCTTTCTCATCGTGCTATCAAGGCGAGATTCTCACGGTTTTCCTCTCCATGTAACGCACATGTGGGTTAGTTACAAAGTTAGAAGGCTATGGAGTTCAGCAATGATAGGCGTAGGCTCAGATTTAAATTGGCTGTTCAACATCGATTATAAAATAAATTCATTATGAATTAGATTAAATCGTCTTATGTTTCCGATCATGTACGTGCCTTTATATATACATACACACTATTTTTAAGATTTTTTTTTGAAAAACATGCTTATTTGGAAAATATTAGAATACATTTCTTATTAAGAGCTACGATTATTACATATTTTAGCACATTTTAAAGCCTTCCAAATGACTTTTTTACATTTGCTGTATAGAGAACTAAATTCCTAAAACAATCTTTCCAATTCTGAAATATCAGTCGTGTGTCGTTTTTTAATAAATCTTTTGTTAAACTTCCGATGCAGTTGTTTTATATTTCCAGTACTTGGGAAGAGAGTTCGACATTTAAATTAAATATTTATTTCAAATGAAATAGCTTATGCTGGTCTGTAAGTATTCAATTGTTTTTTGTTTGTTCTTTTCTCAAAATTTTTGAATCTTTTTACCCACGATTTATATTGGACGAGTAAAAAAGCAGTACACAAATTTTAAAATTAATAGAGAGCGTTCCCCGTTTCAACTGACTACTTTCAATGCAAGTCAAGGAGTCAGCTAATAGAGAAGAATTAGTCTCCTGTTTTTTGCTATCATTTCTTAACATTGTGTTATTCTTATAGTGAACTCTTGGATATAGAGAACGAAATGTTTGCTCCCTTGCCTTGCTATACACATATAATATTATTTTTTGAGGATATAATGAACCAAAAGAAGAGAGGAAATTGGATATTATGAACTGTTTTCTGTCTTCGAATGATTTTTTTTTTCATTTGTTGGCAATTTTGAAATTTCTATATAATATACATATAGGGGAGAGAGGGGCACATATGAACAAATTTTTTTATTTCTACATTTTTCAAAAAATATCATCAATTTCTCACAGTGAAGAAGTCCATATGTTTAAATATTCTTTTCTTTGTCTTATGGAATTTTTTGAGATTTCTCAATAAAATATTTCTTTACTTTATGATATTTTAGAAAAATGACTTTAATTGTTCACATGTGCCCCTATTGGGGGCACATATGAACAAGATTAAATACACAAAGCAATCATCATATTTCAAGGAAAAAAAATCTTCAATATAACAGGTATAGATACGCATTATACTGAAGGGGTTGTAGCTTACTATCTGAATTTAAATTGTACAACAGTACTGTCAATAAGAAAATAATTTTTCAGCTGTACAATAATTTTTCCGCAGTTGGGTTTTTCGCAACTTCATGTTCCTCAGGAGTTGTAATGGACCTTTTTCTTTCTTCTCTAATACTCTGTCATGATTTTATTTTCATTTTTTCTATCTTTTCATTTGTAGCTTTAGCAATTCTATCTTTCTCAGGTGTATCAGTTAATAAGCGTGATGCGCGATCAACCATTTAATTAAAAAAAAATTTTTTTTAAAGAAAAAATTTATAAATTAATTATGGAAAATAAAATAATAATAATTTTAAATACATGCATATTTTTTAAACTTTTAATATTATGAGGATAAAAATTTTAATACTATGTAGGGGCACATGTGAACTGTTCACATCTGCCCCAGATGTTTTGTTCACAAGTGCCCCATCATCCTTCCTAAACCTAACTTGAAAAATAAAGAATTTTTAATTGAGTAAAAAAAAAATAGTTGTCATAAACTTACGTGAATGCTCATATAATGGTCTGCAATAGTTAATTTTAGTTTATTAGTTGATTTATACTATGCTTTCACTTGAAGAAGCGAGTGATTATAATATATACAACACCAGCTGATACAAAGAAATTGTCAGAATAGAAAAACAAAATGTCTCATTGTTCTGAAAGTTTTGCAGAGAGGTAGAACTAGTACTGCCATCAATTGAAAATTTTTCGAGATTTTTTATTTCAAATCATATTGGTAAAACATACCATGTTCACATGTGCCCCCTGTTCACATGTGCCCCCCTCTCCCCTA